GGGTGGGGCAGGGCAGCAGGGCTGGCTTGAAGCGGGCGGGTGGGTCAGGAGGCAGGCACAGGCCGGCAGTGCCAGTGGCTGCTGCTTGGCCTCCCATATGGGGCCGCCCCGGCAGTGCAGGACACGGGCACCGGCAACCACGCGCCCCACAGCCCCAGCCCAGCACCCCCAGCTCCATGCGGGAACTTACCTCTGTCCACCATGTGTCCACGTACCTCCATCCACCACGCATGCGGGCAGGGCGCAGGCCACGCTGTAGCTCCCCAGCCATGCGCCGGGGCAAGCGGCAGAGCCAAGGAACAAACTGCACATGCTGTCCCCAGTTCATCTAATCAGGCATGGCTGGGGCAGCCCCACACCGCACAGCCCTTGGGGCAGCAGCAGCAGGATCTGGCTCACTGATGAGCCCAGCCCCACGGGAGTTAGCAGCTCCCCTCCCCTCGCTGCCGGCTGAGGCCTGTGGGCCGGGCCTGCCTGCCTTGCCTTGCCGCTGTGGAGTGTGGAGCAGGCACCTTGGGCTAAATAAAATGGCTTGGCGGGCTGCATGGTGGCCTGAGGGCCGTATGTTGGACAAGCCTGCTTTACAGAGTAAATATTAAGAAATATTTAAATGGCTAAGTAATTCTTTCATAAGCCCCCCATCTCATTTCCAAGTTTGATTACAATGTCTGCCCCTTGATTATTAACATGCCAATTTAATAGGCAACTTTAAAAAAAAAAAGAAAATAAACAAACAAAAGGTAACTGAGTTCACTTAACAGCGTTTCCTGCTGATGTCAACTGATACACACTCCTCACCTGTACTTACGTAACATTGTTCTTTTAATAACTCACTAAGTCTCTATCTGACTCAGGTTCCCTGGAGTGAAGCCTCCATTCCACCTACCCAGGCATATTCTACCAGCTATTTGCTATCCTAATGCTGCAGCCAGCACAGCTTTTGCTTCTAACAGTAACTAGGATGCCAGGGTTGTGGCCATCATGTAAATTAAAGAAGTAAGCAGCACTATTCCCTTTCCTCCCC